GCAAATCACTAGATAACCCAGAACTTGCTCGTTGGTGTCGCATAAATGTCATTTAATTTTGAAGTAAAATAAATTTAATTTGAAACATTCGAATTGCATTCGGAATAAGTGAAACTAACTCAAAGACTATGCTTAGCCAAAAGGGCGTGTCCGGTCAGGGCGTAGAAGGAGGGGGCGGGGGATGCGCTGCGTTTGCAAAGAAGACTAATACACCGACATGCACTCACTCCAACGAGGACGCGAGGTGTGCGTGAGGCAGGATGTGCGCGACGAGGGTCATTCAGGGAGCGCTCTGGCATCTCACTCGCACCACGCACAATGAGGCCCTCTTCCTCCCGCACCGTGTCGTGTGTGGGAGAGAGCGAGAGAGACAGCGGAGGCTGCGGTCCAGCCGCTCGCGGGCGGAGGGGGCGCGCCGAACAAGGGATTAGTGGGCCACAATGAGCCTTGAAATGAGCCCTGAATGGACACCTGCGGTGTTTTGACAGGAGGCGATGGCAGCTGTCAGCGCCTCAAGTGCATTTCACACGATGGGGGCGTGAGGCGGACGGGCGGACGGTCCGGGGCGATAGCGAACGGACACTGGTCATTGTTGTCGTTCAGTTCGACGGCCTTTTCCTCGTCCGGCGCGGTGGTGCAGCCCCGGCCGGCCAAACTCCTCCCTCCAGTCGTGTTACAATATAATTGCTATCACTCATCCATTGCCCGCACTTCTTGAAATGGTCTGACATGACACGGAACACACAAAACGGAAAGTGCCCCGTCGTCGAAACCATATGTCCACTTTCAGCTGGACGCACAAAGTACGATTTTGGACATTGGTAGGCGGGTTTTCTCACTTGCCCATCTCAGCCTAACCATAAGAACACTGAAAAGAAAGTTCCACCCACTTCCCGCACTAAAATCATAACCACCATAACAGAGCCTTCTTGCAACAGACGTGATATATTTTTGTTAACGAATTGAGGATGAGAGCCGAATAAACTTTGGGTGCCGCTAACGAATGACTGAACAAAGGACGGACATAACCTCCACACCGGCTCCGCTTGCGAACAGAAAACTCAGAGATGTCATTACTCACAAGTCAGTTTCCTCGGCACTTCTGCCGACGGGTTGAAGGAAATGCCAATGAAACACACTGCACGGCATCTTCGAAAACAGAGTCAATAAACACACACACTGGAGAGGTTTGTCTTGCAGCCGAAACACGCTCCCTCCGGACGGGCGACGACGCCGGCCGCGCTCCGCACTGACAGGCCACAGCGGCTCACTTTCGGCTGTCACAGTGAGCGCGCATTTTCAAACTTACGAACGGGCAGAGAAGACCGAGACTCTAGACCGAGGATTCATGAACTTAGTTTCGCGTTGACGCCTAACGTCAAAACAGAGAGTGCATCGCGCAAAAAAATTCCGCATGCTTCTCGTGCGACGAGTCCGCTCAGGTAGAGACGCAAAACTTGTCGTTCCCTGCGGCAGGGCCACCATACCCACGTAAAAAGTGTCCTAGTTGTGTCATGAGTAAGTCTACCCTAAAATGCTCATATAGGCTTCTGATGAAAATTAAAGACCCCCAAAATTTAGTGAGGCGGGAGCAAAAGAAACGACTTGCTTGAAACATTTGTTAACCGTACCTATTATTATTGTATTTATTCTCCTGTTGATCGGAATGACGGCTATGCCAAAATATCTCCATGAACATCGCGCGCCCCGGGCACCGTACCCTCGGGCGCTTTGGCTCGTTAACCCGGCTGCGACTCAGCAGGGCGTACGACCCGCTCCGCTACAGCTACACGGATCCCCCCCCGGGCGCTCACGCTCTGCTCACGCTCTGACACAACAGAGAGCACGGCGCGTGCGTCTCTCTCTCTCTCTCTGTCGCTCCGCGGCCGGGAGAGAGAGGGAGAGGGACAGCAGCGGGGGGCTGACTGGTGACTTTCGCAGGATGACATAATTACTTCGCTACTTTGTCACTGCTGCTGCCACTGCCACTAATGACGCTGCTGCCCGAACGGCGGCAGCCGCGGCAACAGCAGCAGAGCGTCAAGCTGTGATCGAGCTGCTCCGGCGGGGTTGGGGGGCGGCCGCCCGGGACCCTTCAATCTGGATAGTCCTGTCCTAACAACACAATACACGCGGAGTGGCGTCATCGCCGTTCGGGCACGCCCCCGAGCACGGCCCGGCCCCGGTGGCCCACGCCGCCGCCCGCCACCGCCCGCCGCCGCCCCCGCCGGCCCGGGCCCCGGACCCCCGGGGGGCAGTGGAGACCATGCTCCCTGACGGGACGCGGGCATCCAGGGACTCTGTCGCCGTGGAGCCCCGATTGCCGTTTGCATTGTCATCATTGGCGCCACTAACTTGGCGTGCTTTGCCGTTGGCTTTGCTCTCGGCTCGACTCGAGCCCCGCGG